ATCAGTTTCTTCAGGGGGGTGACATTAGGGGTCTTGGAGAACCCTGATGTCTCCATAAAGAGGACCTGTCACATCTTTTGCTATCACATAGAGGGGTTTCTTAGCCCCCTATGTGATGGCAATAAAGTTAAGTTAAAAAAAATAGGAAAAAAATTAAAGTTTCCAAAATAAAATTAAAGTCACACATAAAAAAGAATTTAAAAAAAAACAAAACATTTTTTAAAAGTCCCCACCCCTACATACACGCATGCAAACATGAGTCAGGTGCGCATACCTGTGAAAACGATGATTGCGCCCATTACGCCGCACATGTTACATATCGCCGCGAACGTCGCAGTGAGAGCAATCATTTTAGGCCCATTAATCACTGATAACACTAAACTGATGAATGGTAAAAGCTTTTAAAGCGTCGCCTACGGTCAATTTTGGGTATTGTAGTTTTTTGCGATTTCGCGTGTGCGCGCAATTTTTAAGCTTGACATGTTTGGTGTCTATTTACCCGGCGTGACTCCGTCTTTTATATTTTAACAAAAAATTGGGTAATAATAATTGTTTCCTAACATAATGTTATGTCCCTTGTTATCTCTTGTTTGGACTATTGCAACTCCCTCCTCATTGGCCTTCCACTACACAGGCTCCTCCCCCCTTCAGTCTATCATGAATGCAGCTGCTAGACTCATTCACCTGACCAACCGCTCAGTGTCTGCAACCCCCCTTTGCCAATCCCTGCACTGGTTTCCATCCCCCGCGCCCTCTGCCAATCCCTCCACTGGCTTCCTATAGCCCAAAGGATAAAATTCAAAATATTAACAACCGCGTACAAAGCCATCCACAACTCTGGCCCCGGCTATATCTCCAACCTAGTCTCAAAGTATCCCCCTAACCGTCCCCTCCACTCTTCACAAGATCTCCTGCTTTCCAGCTCCGTCATCAACTCCTCCCATGCTTGTCTCCATGACTTCTCTAGAGTGTCTCCCATCCTATGGAACTCTCTACCCCAACCTGTCCGTCTATCTCCCACCCTGACTGCCTTTAGGAGGTTCCCTAAAGACTCATCTCTTCAGGGAAGCCTATCCCACCTCAACCTAACCACTGAACCTTCACATTCTCAAATAATTCATCCCCACACAGCTACCTCCTCATCTATCACTTGCCCCTCCTCTTTCAGATAGTTAGCCCTCACGGGCAGGGCCCTCCTTACCATCTTGTCTTGTAATTGTATTGTGATTGTAATGTCTTTCTTATATTGTAAAGCGCTGTGCAATCTATTGGCGCTATATAAATCCTGTGTAATAATAATAATAATGTAAATAACACTTTTTTTCCCAGAATTTTCAGTAAATTTTCTGAAAGACAGAAAAAAATAAAACCCCCAGTGGTGAATAGATAGCACCAAAAGAAAGCTCTATCTGTCCCAAAAAATTGTATAAAATTAATTTCAGTACAGCGCTGCATGACGGAATAAACGTCAGTCAAAGTATCGCAGCGCTGAATACTGAAAAATGGCCTGGATGGGAAGGGGGTCTAAACACCTGGTCTTGAAGTGGTTAATAATAATAATAAGTCCAAACTACCAACAATTGCGAAATTATTTATCTCCATTTATTTCCCGCACCGCCAATGTTCATGTGTTTTTCATGTCTCGGTCATGTCTCTTCCTATGAGCAGCACAGCTGGAGAGATCCTTGAAGCCCCTTCCACATACTGAGCACGAATATGGCTTCTCCCCCGTGTGAATTCGTTCGTGGATGGCCACGGAGAAGCGATGGGCAAACCTTTTGTCGCAGTAAGAACACGGGAAGGGCTTCTCTCCGGTATGAACCCGCTCGTGGCGCTCGAGATCAGAGCGACACCGGAAACATTTAGGACAATACGGACAGGGCAGTTGCCGATTGTCTTGGTGGGTTTTCTTATGGGCGCGCAGAGCGGAGCGCGACTCAAAACATTGATCGCAGTTTGGACAAGAATAAGGTTCCTCGGGTGCAAATGTTTTGCCGAGGTGGGTCAGATCAGCCCGGCTACCCAATCCCCCGGCTTCCCGGCAGGCATTTGGCTCCTCATAGGCGTTACCGTTCGACCGGCCAACAAAATCTGGCCCGTGATAAGCACCCCTCTCGCATTCTAAACGCGAAAGCTCTACTTTTTTGGCATGGATCGTCTGATGTCTCACGAAATGGGATCTGCTGGAGAAACGTCTTCCGCACTCGGGGCAATGGAACGACCACTCTCGGTTGTGGACCTTTTCGTGGGCACACAATCCAGCGATTCTCATGAAGCTTTTACCACATTTCTTACACGAGAACGGTTTTTCACCGGTGTGAATACGGTTGTGGGTTTCCAGGGCAGAATTACAAGCAAACGATTTGCCGCAAAGGGTGCACTTGAATGGACTTTCCACCTCGGAAGCTATTTTCTGCCTTGTTGGTAGCCCAGTGTGGTCTTTGGACTTTGTCTTTGGAAGATGGGGCAAAATTCCAGCAAATGTAGGAAATTTGGGGCTGCTGGAGCCGTAGGCATTCTCAGGAAGACTTGTATTATATTTCATTGGACTTATGGTGGGACATAAGTCATTGTAGCCATCATTGTCTCCTGGAAATGATTCCTTCTTGATATACATGGCTATGTTGTCCACATTTATAACAGGCGTGGCTTCTGTTAGTTCAAGTCCTTCAGCAGAAGAAGTTTTTGGATCCAAGAAGGCCAATTCCTTCTTTTTCACTGTCGCTGTATCAACATTTTTGCCACAGGAGCGCAACTTGTCCTTGGGGATCCAAGATGTGTCTGAATTGTGGTGAAGGTCCGCATTCTCCTCCACAAATTTTTCAAGAGATCCTGGTCTCATGTTAGACTTCCCTCTACTCTGCCAGTCTCCGGACTCCTGATCCACGTCCTTGTTGCTGCTGTCGGCTGTGAACACAACATATTCACCAAACCAATAAAATGCAAACTCTTATCACAACATTTTTGTTTTGGGCACAACGAATGCTGCCAATGTAAACCCGAAATCAAGTAAATCATTTTTGGGGGGCTTTTGTTGCAAAGTTTCTTACCTGGAAGATCCTGCCAGTAACAGCACTTTGGGTTTCAGCCTGACAGCACTAAGACACCATCTCGCAATTTGCAGCGATGTTGTCAGACTGCCGTGCCGGCTCCTTCAGTTGGCAGTTCCTGATAGACCTGATAGGCAGCCCAATGGCCTATGAAAAGCCCAACTTTGGGTTTAGGAAAGTCCAGCCCGTCCTCATTAAAGCCCCCCATTCTTATTATTAAAGGAGAACTATGGGGTTAAGGCTTTTCCCCATAGTTCTCCTTAGGGTAAGGGGAGGACACAAACTAGCATCCTCCCGTCACCCTAGGCTCAGTATACCACCAACAAATTCCCATTATACTGTCCATCCTTTAATCCAGCAGTTTTCTACCTGGGCTGGTGATATCACAGCTCCTTCCTCTTCTTCTCCAGTGGTAGGTTCTTACTCCTGGACTAAGTGCAGCTCAAGTCATGGCTTGTGTGCATCTAACTGTCCAGGAATACTGTGAACCCAGGCTGATGACCCACTCTCCGGTAATGTGTCCACAACGCTCCAAGCGCTCAGAAAGTAAGTTGGACGATGCCGGGCGTCATCCAACCCAGACGAGGACTGACACCCAATTGGAGTGTGGTGAGTCTGTGGTGGGGACTGCCAAAGAAGAGGTCTTATTATTAGCACAGCTGAGCCACTTACCTTTTTTTTTATTATATTTTAGAATATTATTTTACAAAGTGTTTCTTTTGTTGACAACTCTAACTTAAAATGATAGGCTGCCCTTACTGCTGTCAGCTTATAACAGCCCTGAAATGGGACAGTTCCATGACTAACAAAATACTGAAGAGGGGTAAAGATGTAAGCAATTTCTAACAAAAAGTCATAGATTCATAAAAAGAATTCAGGTAGAACTCACTGAAGGCCCAGTTCTGGTTCTTCATCATGACGTCCCCGTAGAGGTCCTTGTGTCCTTCTAGATACTCCCACTCCTCCATGGAGAAATAGACAGAGACCTCCTGACACCTTATAGGAACCTGACACACACAATGATACAGTCACCATCCAGACACATCCCTTGTCTGTTACTGGATCATGTCCCAGAATTCCCGGCACCGCTCACCTCTTCCGTCAGCAGCTCAATGATCTTCTGGGTGACTTCTAGAATCTTTCCGTTATGTTTTCTGTTCAGTCTTGCTGAATGGGAATTGGGCGCCAATTGTTTGCCAGATTTCCTGACAACAGTATAAATCTAATTCAGGAAACAAAAACATAACGGAGACATTTACAGGGCCAAGGTGCACAGAGGACAACGGTGATGGGGCCATTGTGACACCAATGAGCTGAGTATGGGCTGTGAAGGTCTGTACAAAATAGGGAAGAGTTACAACCATTTTCAGCTTTTATACTACTGTCCATGTGCCAGGTGGTCAACAAGAAGTGCCCCCCCCCCCCCTCTCCGCCCCCACAAGGCTTGTGAGCCGCTGATGACAGCTATTAATTTAAAGGGGATAGTCTGCTGAACAGTTCTACTATAAGCTTATAGAACTGTAAATGCCAGGTCTGTACGACGTACTGAGCTGGCCAGCTGGAAGCACTTTTGTAGCTCCGTACGACGTACGTCCTTGGCAGCGAAAGGGTTAATAGAGAAAAGAGTGATGTCATGTGACCTCCCAGAATGCTCCTCACCTCTCCGGTCAGGTCTGTGTTTTATTAATAGAGATAAGAGTGACGTCATGTGACTTCCCAGAATCCTCCTCACCTCTCCGGTCAGGTCTGTGTTTTATTATTAGAGATGAGTGATGTCATGTGACCTCCCAGAATCCTCCTCACCTCTCTGGTCAGGTCTGTGTTTTATTAATAGAGATAAGAGCGATGTCATGTGACCTTCCCAGAATCCTCCTCACCCCTCCGGTCAGGTCTGTGTTTTATTAATAGAGATAAGAGTGACGTCATGTGACCTCCCAGAATCCTCCTCACCTCTCCGGTCAGCAGGTAGATGATCTCCAGGGTGAGGTTTAATATCATCTCGCTTATGCATCTCGGATCTTTATCCATCCTTTGAAAACGAGTCAGATGATTTCAGTATGGGTTCTGGTCACTGGTACATGGTGACAACCGTTCTGCGGTGGAGCACAGAAATAGCAAGATTAAAAATAACATAGATGGCGATTGGAACTGATAAATAACAATGGCGTTCTGTCTAAGCACATCACACTGCTTACTTTTTTTTAAATATAACTTTACTGAGAGTGTACAAAGCGTACACAAAGCGTACACTCCATTCAGGTCTCTGCACACCAGATCTGTATGTCTACATTTTCCAACCACACAGCACACCCGCATTGCAGTCTGATTGGGGCACACAGAAAACAATTGTTCCCTATTGTGCCCAAATGGGTGACGTGTGTTTCTCTCATGCAGATAAACACAGGTCACCACATATAGTGTGAACATAACCTGAAAGACATTTACACTCTGCACTAACCTGCAACAACCCTTCTCTCCTGTTCAGAATCAGCCCTCTGTAACAGGAAGTCATGTGATCCCATGGTGCCCACCCCCCCTCTCTCTGCCCGTGTTCTGTCACACAAGCCAATCTATCACAAAAGCCAATCGTGTCATGTTTGGCAATGAAAAGCGGCACACTGTGAATGCGCCCGGCTTCAATAGGAGGATTACTTAGTTGGCAAATCTGATAGAAAGGCTGTTCTATCACGAAAGCCAACGGAGTCACTGCACATGCCTCTGTGATGTCACTGGATACTTGCGGCGAGGAGCTCTAGGAAGCGCAGCAAAGTGCTTGCGTGCCTGACATCAAACAACCTTGGCTGTTAAGATGTGCTGCGAAGAGCTTTCACGTCTGTCCATCAGACGTCTCCACTCCTCCGCCATTGCTGTCCATCAGACATCTCCACCCCTCCGCCATTGCTGCCCATCAGATGTCTCCGCCATTGCGTACTGGTCCTCCTAGTCCGCACTGCTCATCCTTACAGGTCATCCTAGTCCACACCGCTCATCTTTACCGGTCATCCTAGTCCACACCGCTCATCTTTACCGGTCATCCTAGTCCGCACCGCTCAGCCTTACCAGTCATCCTAGTCAAACAATATTGTAAATCATTAGCTGTAATTAAAGGAAGACCCCAAATGTGGATATTGTTTAAACTGGAGCAGCACAGTGCTGCATTAGCGCTTCTGCCTTGCAACCCTGAGGGTCCCTGGTTTGAATCCCAGCCAGATCACTATCAATGAGTTTGCATGTTCTCTCTGGGCTTGCGTGGGTCTCCTCCGGGTACTCCAGTTTCCTCCCACACTCCAAAGACATGCTGGTAGGTCAATTGGCTCCTCTCTAAGTTGGCCCTCTATGTATGAGATAGGGACCTTAGATTGTAAGCTCCTTGAGGATAGGGACTGATGTGAATGTGGAACTATGTCAAGTGCTGCTTAAATCTGTCAGCGCTGTATAAATACCTGTAATAATAACTGCAACACCTACAGCGGAGTGATGATAATGTGCACCGCCTTTTGTTGAATATCATAGCTACATCCGTATCTATCAATTTATTATTATTATTACACAGGATTTATATAGCGCCAAGAGTTAGCGCAGCGCTTTACAATATAAGAAAGACATTACAATTACAACACAATTCAAGACAAGACAAGACCATCGTGCGGCCATTGTTGTAACTGCAGTTTATTGTTACATATATGCGCCGCCTTGTGGTAAATATCAGAACTGCACTCATTATCATCAATATGTAAGATCGCCGCCGTGTGGTCATTTTTGTACAGTACAGAAGCGCCACCATGTGGTAATTTTTGTCCTGCACAGGAGCGCCACCGTGTGGACATATTTTTAACTGCAGCTCCTAATATGTATCGTGTCTTGTGGTAAATATCAGAACTGCAGTCATTTTCATCAATATCTAAAGCTGGCCATACACCTTACAATTATCTGCAGATTTTCTGTGGTCAGATGGAAAAAGTGCAACAGATTGTCCCAGGTGGAGATTACTCCATCCACACAGTTAAGTGTAGATGGAGGAATCTGTTGCACCTTTTCCATCTGACCACAGAAAATCTGCAGATAATTGTAAGGTGCATGGCCAGCTTAAGATCGCCACCGTGAGGTCATTTTTGTCCTGCACAGGAGCGCCACCGTGTGGCCATTTTTCGAACTGTAGCTCCTATATCTAAGATCGCCAACCCGTGGCCCTTTTGTACTGCACAGGAGCGCCACCGTGTGGTCATTTTTCGAACTGTAGCTACTAATACTGTACATATATGCGCCCTCTTGTGGTAAATATCAGAACTGCAGTCATTATCATCAATATGTAAGATCGCCACCGTGTGGTCATTATTAGAACTGCAGCTCTTAAACATTCATGTTCTCTAGGTGGACTCAGGTATGGCTCAGTGTTCTTTGGGTGGACTCAGGTATGGCTCAGTGTTCTCTAGTTGGACCCAGACATGGCTCAGTGTTCTCTAGGTGGACCCAGACATGGCTCATTGTTCTCTAGGTGGACCCAGACATGGCTCAGTGTTCTCTAGGTGGACCCAGACATGGCTCATTGTTCTCTAGGTAGACTCAGGTATGGCTCAGTGTTCTCAGGTATGGCTCAGTGTTCTCTAGGTGGACTCGGGTATGGCTCAGTGTTCTCCAGGTGGTCTCAGCTATGGCTCAGTATTCTCTAGGTGGACTCAGGTATGGCTCAGTGTTCTCCAGGTGGTCTCAGCTATGGCTCAGTGTTCTCCAGGTGGACTCAGCTATGGCTCAGTGTTCTCCAGGTGGACTCAGATATGGCTCAGTGTTCTCTAGGTGGACTCAGATATGGCTCAGTGTTCTCCAGGGGGACTCAGACATGGCTCAGCGTTCTCTAGGTGAAGTCAGATATGGCTCAGTGTTCTCCGGGTGGACCCAGATATGGCTCAGTGTTCTCTAGGTGGCCTCAGATATGGCTCAGTGTTCTCCAGGTGGACTCAGATATGGCTCAGTGTTCTCTAGGTGGACTCAGATATGGCTCAGTGTTCTCTAGGTGGGCTCAGATATGGCTCAGTGTTCTCTAGGTGGACTCAGATATGGCTCAGTGTTACTTTCAAGTGAACTCCAAAGGGAGGGGCCGGAGGATGTGCATTTTAAGATAAGAAAGGGGTGGCGTGCTCCAAAAAGTGTAAGGAATGGAAGGGATGCTCCAAGGAGAAGAAGGGCGGTGCTCCAGGGGGATAAAAAGTGGTGGTTCTCCAAAAGCAGGAATTGGGGAGGCGTTTCAGGGGGATATATGGGGTGGTGCTTAAAAAGAGGAGGGTTGGTGGTGCTTCAAGGGGAGGAATAGAGGTGATCAACAGGGAGGAAATGGGTGATGCTCCAAAAGGAGGAACAGGGAAAGTGCTTTAAGGGGAAGTGTATGTATGGTGCTCAAAGGGGAGGGATAGGTGGTGCTCCATGGGAAGGAATAAGGGTGCTCAAAGGGGAGGAATGGGGGTGCACGAAAGGGGGTAAAGGATGAAGTGCCCAAAGGGGAGGAAATGGGGTGTTCATAGGGAAGGAATTGATGATGCTCCAAGGGGAGGAGTTGGAAAAGCTCCAAGGGGAGGAATTGAGGATGCTGGAAGGGGAGGAATTGAGGATGCTGGAAGGGGAGGAATTGAGGATGCTGGAAGGGGAGGAATTGAGGATGCTGGAAGGGGAGGAATGGGGGAGGTGCCCCAACGGGAGGAATTGGGGATGCTTAAAGAAAATGAATGGGGGAGGTGCTTCAATTGAAGGAATAGGAAGGGGGGGAGGGGGAGGGGTGCTCCCATAGTGCAGGTTTCTGGCTGTACAATATGTGTACAGTATAAAGATAACTATTTCAGCTGTTTCCCTGAGATATATCATCACTGTACAAATGACTAAAATGAAAATAAACAACATCGTTTGTGCACACAAATGTGTGTGCATTTTATTTGCTATAAATCATATTAATAACTATATAAAATATTTTTGACTTTACAAGTCCTAGGCAGTAATGACATTGGACATGAACCAACCGATTCGGGATCTATCAGAAATCAGACAGGTCCGGTTCCTTCTGCACAAGCTGCTTTCCTCCCGGAAATGGCGTTCTTTGCAAACCACCTTGTAACGTAGAATGAATCCCAATCGGCAATCGTGGACCGCGCAGCTAGAAGCGGATCAATAAATCTGTGCACTCCTAATAAAGGGCCTGTAATAAGGAAGTATGGATATTCGCTGAGCTCTCCTTCTGGAAATACCCGTTACCTGGCTGTCATGGTAATCCAGTGGATTCAGTATTAGTAGAATGAGAAGTGGCAGCCATTGTGTTTCTTCATGGAAAAGACTCTTTTAAAGTGTGTCTCCAGTCAAAACATTATTTTTTTTGGTTTTGGGCAGAGCAGAGAATGCTTAGAGACTCCTGCCGGGTTTTTTTTCCAATGGGAGGGGTCTGTTTTAACCTCACAGTTGGATGTCTATTTAAGGTGCACAATCTTTCATTGTTGTGTCATTCTGAGCCTGATGAAGGGGACCCTCTGAGGCCCCCGAAAGCGCTTGCATTTGAATGGCAATGTGCCAATAAATGGACTATTGCTTGATTATCCTTTGGAGTGCTGGTGACGTTATTTTCTATCCTGTCGGGTTTTAGTTCATTATTTATGTCCTGCTGGGGAGATGAAAAACCTGACAGAGGGTCTAACCTTTCCCCACTTCATCCAAAAAAATGTTTTAAATTGCAAGAGACACACTTTTAGAAGACTTGTCGAGTTGCAGTTTGCTCAGAAAATATCAGATGTGCCCCATCAGCAGCGAACTGATTGGCTCCTCTCTAAAGCCGACATTTCACACGTTCAAGCGTTGTCTATCACTCGCTCATGTTTCCTTTTATGGACGACAAGGCCGGAGAGATCGGTGAAGCACCTTCCGCATGCCGAGCAAGAATATGGCTTCTCCCCCGTGTGGATCCGTTGATGGACAGCAACAGAAGAGCGGTTGGCGAACTTTTTGTCGCAGTAGGAACACGAGAAAGGTTTCTCTCCCGTATGAATCCGTTCATGGCGCTCAAGATGAGAGCGGCTCGGGAAACATTTACTACAAAAAGGGCAGGGCAGTTGCTGCTTTTCTCGGTGGGTTTTCTGGTGCAAGAGTAGAGAGGACCTCAACTCGAAACATTTGCCACACTCCAGGCACGAAAATGCCTTCTCCACTGGTAGAGTTCTGCAAGGGCGGGTCAGATCCCCCTGGCTGGCCAATGCCCCACCTTCCAAGCAAGGATATGGCTCTTCTTGGGCTTGAACCTTCACCTGATCGGCAAATTCCGGGACACTCTCAACGCCTCCCTCACAATCCGGACTCGAAGACCTCGCTGTGTGAATCATCTGATGCTTCACAAAATGGGATTCGGAAGAAAAACACCTGCCACACTCGGAGCACTGAAACGGCCGCTCTCGAGTGTGGACCTTTTCATGGGCACGTAGTCCGGTGATTCTCATGAACCTTTTACCACATTTGGAACACGAGAACGGCTTTTCACCTGTGTGGATGCGGCTGTGGGTTTCAAGGGCTGAATTACAAGCGAAGGATTTAGCGCAGAGCATGCACGTGAACGGATTACCTGCCCCAGCAGCCCTTTGGTGCTTTTTTGACCATCCTGCTCGGGACTTTTCCTCTGGAAGATCGGACAACCATTCGGCACCTCCTGGACGTTTTTGGCTGCTGGAGTCAGAGACCTTCTTTAGACGACTGCATTCTCTGGGACCCCCCACTTCACGGTAGCCATCAACTTCCTCCAACGACGACTCCTTTTTGATATACGTAACCGTGCCATCTGCATTAATTATAGACATGGTATCCATATGAGTGGATTTCTCTGTAGAGTAAGGGTTCACTTCCGGCAAATTTGGGTCCGCCTTCATTTTTACAGCTATAGTTTCAAAATGTTCGTCATCCGAGGAAGATGGCTCCTCTTTGATGATTAGTGACATATGTGGACTTAGAGATTGGTCGGGATCATCTTCCAAAGATCGCTCAGGAGATCCCAGTCCTGTCTTGGAACTGTCTCTGCTTGCACAGTCTCCAGCCTGATCAGTGTCACTGCTATCTCCACTTCTATAATCTGCCGCTGAGAATTCCACATCACTGCTCTCCCCTGTGAAAATATGAAGGCACAGATGGCAACATTTTAATTATGGAATATTCAATTTACAACATCCGAGGGTTAAACAGAAGCTGCTTTTTTAAGCAGTTATAATATTATTGGCCTTCCTAGGGGGGGGGCTTGCTATGGCTCCTATGACTACAGGTAGACTGTTATCTATATGACTTCGTTAAAACAGAATTTCATCCTCCTGGGACAGTAATAAAGGGAAATTCTTCCAATGGGGAACAGCTGTTCCAGTGACAACTGTTCAAGAGTGGATTTTCCTCAGCCAGAGATGCCTTCCTGTTGTGTCTCCAACAGACTCAATGGGTTAGAAAATCTCCCAAGGCTACAATCTTTTATTGGTAGGTATTGGTTAAGTCCCCTGTAATTTTTTTTTTTGTGATCTACCGGGGAGAGCTCCCTTTGCTTTCTATGCTTTAGATGCAACAGGAAGAGGGAAATGCCTTCTTAAACAGTTGTCACTAGAACCTACACTGAGTGGCCAGATTATTATGACCACCTGACGTTTGTAGGCTAATTAGCTATAATTTTGCGCTGAAGTTGCTAGAGGGCCAGACCATTATAAATAGGGAAGCAGGTTGTTTACCACGACAGTAGAAGTGATTTGTTTCTGAAGATATGGGTAAACAACGCGATTTAACAGCCTTTGAACGTGGGATGATTGTTGGCGCTCGGAGCCATGGAGCGAGTATCAGCAAAACAGCAGAATTCGTTAAATGTTCAAGAGCAGCTGTTGTTAAAGTGTTTAAAGACCGGACTGTCAGCCGAAAATCTGGGTCTGAACGTGCGAATTGTGGCCGTCAGCGACTAGTCAATGTTAGGGCAGAACGGAGAGTGGCAAGACTGGTACAAGACAACAGAAGGGCAACAGTGCAGTGTCAGATTCCTCACATCACCTTTCACCAGGCGGCCCAACGAAGTCATCTCGTGGCCCAACGAAGTACTGATGGGGTGGTCATAATAATCTGGCCACTCAGTGTATATGCTGGGCTGGACAAATCCCAGGAGCCAGGTAGCCAACGCTCCTTAAAAGTTAGGTGCCAGCTGTAATTTTTGAGGGTTTTTTTTTCTAGTTGTTACCAATGTAGCTAGCAGCTGGCTCCTGGATTGGACAGACGGGCTCCTGAATTCCACATTAATTTGTACATCCCTGCGTATGCCTGCTGGAAGATTCCCCCTCTATTGTTCGGGTGACAACCCAAAATATTGAATTTTCCTCCATATCATAGCTCTGGATCATCAGGATAAATAAATTGTGTGGCATTGCGGTTTTTCAGACTTCAACCATCCTGAGCGCCTCATCAGGAGTTCTTGACAAAAATGATTTGGTCAATTTTCCTCATTTACCAAAATTTTTTACGAGAACTGCTGACGAGACACATCTTATATAAGCTACATCTGATCCCTCTTTTCCTGAGAATGCCAGAATCAAAGCACTCTTGTAGGTGCAATTGTTTGCTTGCTTATGTTCATACAAGAACAGCTGACCCAACTTCCCCATATGATGAAATGGTTCAATTTCCCCAACAGGCACATATTCAGCTTGGCAAGAGACAGAATTTAGACACAGCCCATAACCACTTGATGGGGGATTTACCAAAGTTGCCAGGAAAAAATCTCTCACCGTCTTTGCCTGTTGAGAGTTTGTTGCCTTTGTCTCTCCTTTGACACCTTGATTTGCGGCTGTAGGTCTTCCTGAAATGACGGTCTTCATCAGATGTGTCACTGTCAGGGTCCATAAGAACTGATGATTTGTAGGATGAAAGGTTGTTAGGTTTATTTGGATATGTATGATGATGCAAGTTGGATTTGTGGTTGGTAGGACTTGCCGTATAGTCTGTCTCTGGTTCCTCCACCACCATCACGTCTTCCTCATCCGATGCCTCCATCTTTATTAATATGGCTGTACAGTCACCATCATCAAGGAAGTCACATGACCTGGATCTGTGCACACTGTGTGCTCTGTATTGCTCTATAGGATCATCTAAGGCATCCGCTTCAGGGTCATCCCTTCTTTCTATAACAAAGACATGAAACAAAAAACTCATATTCTTTGGATAGAACAGTACTGCTATCTGTATCCCAATCAGGGAGCATCCTCATAACGTTCTATCCCATAGACATGACAGGAAGTGAATGGAAAACTCCTTAAAGTGAGGGGAATACCCTCATTAACAGTTGTCTCTGCAACAGAGGTCTCCATTAGGAGATTTCCTCTTTACTCTTGTTCCTAAATGGTTAACTTTCTTCCCTTTCCATGAAGGATCTTCAGGACAATTGCCACCAGTGCTATCCGCATGGACTTTGAATGTCCTGCCTGTGTTTCTGTGGGTTTCCTCTGTTACCTCCCACAATCCAGAAACATACTGGTGTGCTAACCAGTGGTGTATTTTGGTTTGGGGCTGCCCTAGACAAGACGAAACT